CAGATTTGAATCCATTAGATTACAAGATATGGCAACACTTAGAGGAAAAGGCGTGCTCAAAGCCTCATCCCAATTTGGAGTCACTCAAGACATCCTTGATTAAGGCAGCCGCCGATATTGACATGGACCTCGTTCGTGCTGCGATAGACAACTGACCGCGCAGATTGAAGGCCTGTATTCAAAATCACGGAGGTCATTTTGAATAAACTTTAATGTCATAAGAATCTATGTTTTGTTAAGTTCATTTTGGTATATAAATGGTTACATAATGAATAAACTTGTTTCAATTATTTTATATTAAACATGTGACAGAATTTATGACCTGACTAGGTATATAGTTCCTAATGATTCACTTCAATAAATTCTAAATATTATTTGAAACAATAAATAGATGAAGAGATTTCAAGCATTACATTAGCTTCTATGATAAATTATTATCTAGTTAAAAGAGCACAATTGCAATTGGTTAATTAGTCGATTTTTATATCTACGTCATTGTAACAGGATTGTAGAGCTGGATCTGGAGCAATAAGAAAGAGCTTAAACATTAGAGCGTCCGATAAATTTATATTGAACACTAGAAATACGGGGGACCTTCAAGAAAAGAGCTTACTCCTTTCTAAAGGGCCGGCAACGCACCTGCAATTCCCCTGGTGTTGCGGTTGATCATGGGCGACGGTAGTCACTTAACATCAGGTGAGCCGGGTACTCCTTTGCCCCCTCTTCTATAAAAAAATAATAATTATTTTATCTGTTATCTTCATGCTCGTGTTATGCAATTTTGCTTAAGTATAAAAAACTATTTAAGATGTGGGTTATTTTATATATTGTTATATTTGGTTTGAATACCTACTGATAAATAAGACTGTGTTCAAGTTTGGATATACGGATCAATGATTTCAAACTGAGCTCAGTCATTTATTCTGTGGGTTTATCTGTAAATGTAATGTTGTGTTATATAAACAAAACAAAGTTCTCTCTTTTTCTGTTAGGCTGATTTTTATATAGACTAAGGACTTGTCATTTTAAATATATCTCAAAACAGAATGACAGTAAACTCACTTGTCTGACTATATGTTTGTTTGTTTCTTTGAAAAAAAAATTACAATTAAATATGAACTAACTACCAGGTGAACTAGAGACTTGAAAGTTATAAACATAGCTTAAAAATAAAAACGCGGTAAATAGTCGCCATTTTGAATTACTTATAATTATATAATATGTAACTTCTAGGTTCCCTATTTTTCCTGTCTCTTTTTTTTGGAAACTAGGCCGTGTAGTGGCGGTTGAGAATATCCACTACCCCATATCTTCCCGTGGGAGTCGTAAAAGGCGACAGAGGGAGACACGCAGGAGATGGGCAGCAGCTTCTTTCTGAGAACAACTGTGACGTAATAAAAAACTGCGGTTGCCAACCCGCTCGCCAAGCGTGGCAACTATGGCAAATACCCCCCAATGAATAAATACACAAACAGACGGCCCCCAGTCCCCGGCGGCCCCGCTATTCCTGGCTACGGTGGCGACCATGGTAACGGCGGGGCAGGGGGTGCTAAGAATCTCCGGTGGAGGTTCGGTTGCCACCTACGACGACTCGACCTGGCAACATATAACGCACGCACCCTGAGGACTGACGAGAAGATACTAGAGCTGGAAGAAGAGGTAGACAAGTTGCGCTGGCATATTATTGGATTATCCGAGGTCCGAAGAGAGGGGGAGGACACGGCAATCCTCGAGTCCGGCAACTTGTTCTATCACCGGGAGGGCGACCATCTGTCCCAAGGAGGTGTCGGATTTATCGTCCACAAGTCTCTCGTCAACAACGTTGTAAAGATTGGGAGTGTGTCGACGAGGGTCGCGTACCTGATACTCAGAATCACCAAACGGTATTCGCTGAAGGTCATTCAGGTTTACGCACCAACCTCGGCACATCCCGATGAGGAGGTGGAGGAAATGTATGAGGATATTTCCAGAGCCATACATTCCTCCAAAACCCACTACACGGTGTTGATGGGAGACTTCAACGCAAAACTAGGCACAAGAGAAAGCGGTGAGCTGAAGGTAGGGAAATTTGGAGTAGGGCAACGGAACCGAAGGGGCCAGCAGCTGGCCGACTTTATGGAGAAAGAGGGACTCTTTATGATGAACTCTTTCTTCCAGAAGCGGCCCCACAGGAAGTGGACCTGGTCGAGCCCCGACAGTTCGACAAAAAATGAGATTGACTTCATTATGACGACCAGACGCCAACTGTTCAGTGATGTCTCAGTGATCGCAAGGGTGAAAACTGGCAGCGATCACCGAATGGTTAGAGGCACACTGAACCTAAACGTTAAGTTGGAGAGGTCTCGTCTAATGAAGTCAACGCTCCGTCCCCCTCGTGCTCTAATCCAGAATCCCGAAACCTTTCAGCTCGAGTTACGTAACCGCTTCCAGTGCCTAGAAGATTGCAATGCAGTGGACGATATGAACGACAAGCTCGTGGAAACTGTCCATGCGGTCGGAGCTAAGTTCTGCAAGACCCGCCGCAGAAGAACACAAAAACTCTCCGATCACACTCTTAATCTCATGGCTGTTAGACGGGAGATGAGGCTGCAATCGTCAACAGATTTGACAGCATACAGGCAACTGAACAGACAGATCTCCAAATGCATGCGGCGAGACTTACGCAACTTTAATACTTCTCGTATTAAAGAAGCGATCGAGCGGAACCAGGGCTCCAAAGTCTTTGCCAGAGATCTGTCTGCCAGAAAGAGCCAACTGTCAAAGCTGAAGACTGAGTGTGGCAACCTCGTTTCCGGGACACCTGAGATTTTGAGTGAGATTGAGAGGTTCTATGGGCAGCTGTACACATCATCGTTGGAGCCACACGTAAGTGTGAGTAACGATCCAAGAGCAAGTCTTATCCGACACTATTCCGATGATATCCCGGACGTCAGTCTGAGCGAGATTAGAATGGCTCTCCACCACCTTAAAAACGGCAAGGCCCCGGGCGAGGATGGAATTACAGCGGAGCTTCTGAAAGCGGGTGGAAAACCGGTACTTGAAGTCCTTCGGAAGCTCTTCAATTCCGTCCTCCATGGTGGCACTACTCCGGAGGCGTGGAGCAGAAGCGCGGTGGTTTTGTTCTTTAAGAAAGGCGACAACGCTCTCTTGAAGAACTACAGACCGATTTCCCTTCTGAGCCGCGTCTACATGCTATTTTCGAGAGTCATTACGAATCGTCTCGCACGCAGACTCGACGACTTCCAGCCTCCCGAACAAGCCGGTTTCCGAAAAGGCTTCAGTACCATAGACCACATACATACCCTGCGGCAGATTGTACAGAAGACCGAAGAGTACAATCTGCCACTTTGCCTGGCATATGTGGACTATGAGAAAGCCTTTGATTCCGTCGAAATTTGGGCGGTGCTACAGTCCCTTCAGCGGTGCCAAGTTGACTGTCGGTACATCGAAGTGCTGAAGTGTTTGTACAGTAGGGCTACGATGGCTATCCGAGTACAGAACCAGAGTTCGAAACCTATCCAACTGCAGAGAGGTGTAAGACAGGGTGATGTTATATCCCCGAAACTCTTCACCGCTGCGTTGGAAGACGTTTTCAAGCTACTGGACTGGAAAGGATACGGTATTAACATCAATGGCGAGTACATCACTCACCTTCGATTTGCCGACGATATAGTCATTATGGCAGAATCGCTGGAGGACTTAAGCATTATGCTCAATGACCTCAATAGTGCCTCCCAACGGATAGGTCTTAAGATGAACATGGACAAAACAAAGATCATGTTTAATGTCCATGTCACACCTATGCCGGTAGTTGTTGGGAGCACTATGCTCGAAGTTGTTGACGAGTACGTTTACCTGGGACAAATAGTCCGACTAGGTAAGTCCAACTTCGACCGAGAGGTCAATCGACGGATTCAACTCGGCTGGGCAGCGTTCGGGAAATTACGACATATCTTTTCGTCAGGTATACCTCAATCTCTAAAAACTAGATTGTACAACCAGTGCGTGTTGCCAGTGATGACTTACGGATCTGAGACGTGGTCCTTCACTGCTGGCCGAATGAGGACGCTTAAGGTCGCTCAGCGAGCTATGGAGAGGGCTATGCTTGGAGTTTCTCTGCGTGATAGACTCAGAAATGAGGATATCCGCAGTAAAACCAGAGTGATCGACATAGCCCAACGGATTAGTAAGCTGAAGTGGCAATGGGCCGGCCATATAGCTCGAAGAACCGATAACCGATGGGGAAGAAAGGTTCTCGAGTGGCAGCCTCGTACCGGTAGGCGTAGTGTAGGGCGACCCCCCACTAGATGGAGTGACGACCTGGTAAGACATGCAGGAAGTCGATGGATGCAGGTGGCTCAGGACCGTGCTTTGTGGCATTACTTGGGGGAGGCCTATGTTCAGCAGTGGACTTGTGAAGGGCTGTAATGATGATGATGATGAAGCGATATTGGATTGTTTTTAAAGAATATTTAAATCAAAATTAGTAATAATTACTACCAATCGCATGGTAGTAAAATAACTCAAATCTTAAGAATTAGAATTTGAGGAAACATTCAGGTCCACAAAATCCCTCGCCTTCACAAGTTTTATTATAATACTTAACGAGTCCTAGATTACAAAACGTAAGGGCGAACGGGCTGCACTTCCCGCAGTGCAGAAGCCGTTGCAGAAGTAACTTTGTGTCAATATTCCTGTATTAAAAAAGTGAGGTTATAATTTAAAAAAAATTAGTACTCATAAACTAGACATTTCTGCAACGGGGGAAGGGGGTTTTCCATGACCCCTTCCCTCCTCCCTCCCTCTTCCAACACCGTACGCGAGTACCGGATGTCTATAGTTTACCCGTCAATTTTTTAATATACATTCAGGTCCCAGGTCCCTCGCCTTCACAAGTTTTATTAAATACTTAACGAGTCCTAGATTAAAAAACGTAATAAGTGCACAATGAACCGATCCCATTTGATCTCTACGTATAGCTTATTAAAGTCTAGTTTGGTTCACCGTGTCTTTTGAGATGAAAATGACTGTTGACCACGTCGTTTCGCCTTCCGAGGTACTGCTTCTTCAGTCAACTAAAAATAGATTTTAAATAAATAATCGCAAATTTTCATTGTTTAAAAGGAACTTAACCTAGCCTTAAAGTATGCTTGCGTCTTAATTTTTGTAAAAAAAAATTCTTTACAAAAACAATTTGAACAAAATTATGTTAAAATCCCCACTAAAAAGTCATTATTAAACTATGGTAGTGTGTATAATTTGTTGGAATAAACAATGAAAAAACTTACCAATCGCACCTTGGCTGAGAGACGTGCGGGCGGAGCAGTGATATCACTAGGATTGGTCACTTTAGAACAGAACGCCTGCGCTTCATTGATCCTTGAAATACAATAAAACATTATAACGTCTACGATTTTTCAGTTACTTTAAAATAAAAAATTAAGTATCCCTCAAAACAACATTCTGTGGGTGTCTTAGTTAAGTCGACTATGGAAATCGCCATAAAAATCTTATCGCGTCCAACAGATATCGGTATGAACATATCATTTACGTCAAACGAAAAATACTCAAACTGGCGACAGACAGCAGCGTTAAAGGTGCACACGTCTGGACGATGCATCATCTTGCCGAGCGTGACGAATGTGGCAGATGCAATGAGAGAAGCTCATTTTCAGCAGTGAATTTAAAGTCTAAAGGTGCTAAATGAGTACACACAGCATACATCATACAGCATACACATCTACATCTATTATTTTATTTGTTTATTTAATATTCGTTACTGCACACCATACAAAATTACAGAGATTATATATACAAATGTATACAATGAGCGGCCTTATTGCTGACGGCAATTTCTTCCAGACAACCAAAATACATTTATCCTCGATAAGGAACCCAAACCAAAAGCGTTTTCATCCACGAAGACAAAGATTCAATGCCATGTTTCCAGTAAAAAGGGTCTCGTATGTTAGATGTAAATCGCTCAAAACAGTTAAAGGAAGAAGCGTCTAAGGTGTGAGGCATCTGATACTGCGAACAGTAATCAACCTATCATGCGTAGTCATTAAGGCAAAACTTTCTACAATAGCAGTGGACCATGCCTAGCAGGTTCACTGTCGCAAGTTCATGAGCGGCAGTGGTAGGGGAAGAACCGCGCTCTTACAACATATTATCAGCGTAAATTGACAGCTTAATGCTGATGTGATTGATGTGATGACTCTCTCGTTGGTGCAGTGGTCATGAACGTGGTTGCTGATCATAAGGTCCCGGATTCCAATCCGGTGGATCCTTAATCATTAATTGGATTTTGTCAAGAAATTTTCAGTAGTCTGACTCTGGCCTGAAAGTTGGCTGTGTTTTACCCACGTGCCTCTGAATGCACGTAAATCCGTTGGTCCTGCTCCTGATATCCGGTCGTGTCGTGTATTACCCATTGGACTACGAGAGTGAGTGAACCCATGCTGGCACACACAATCCTGCACTATAACCCTATTCTACGCTAGTGGCTAGTCTCCGTTGAGACTGGCCTTGAACTACAGGACAGTGACGGTGTTTCACCCTCCAATGCTCCATAAAAAACCTGCTTGTGTTCCGGGCCAGTGGCGCGCATCACAACACAGTGTCCAGCGTCTGCGGCGACAGCAGCAGCGCTGGCTCGCGCGCGTACCAGCATGCCAGCTCATCCGGACTCACCACGCCATCGCCGTTCGTGTCCATCAGCTGGACCAATGTTGCACTTATAGAAAAAATGTAACGAGCAATCACACAGCCCACCTGACGGTAAGTGGCTGCTGTGGCCCGTAAACATCTACATCGATCCTCGATTAAGAATTAAAGTGCAGATGCATTGTCGCCTTTGAGAGGTCCTTGTTGAATGTCTCGTTTCTTGTAAATGGGGTCTCCGATTCTTTACACTCAACATGCTAAACATAGCAGCATTGAGCTGCTACTTTACAACGGTACTCTATGAGAGATTCTAGAACAAATGAGTTGGATCGTCCTTCCCGGTCGATCAAACTCATTCGTTCTAGAACCACAATACATCTGCAACATGGCTCCACTACCTATACATAAGTTGTTGCGATTCACCAAGTCGAGTGGACTTTAATTGTGGTAAACAAGAATCTGCATACGTAGATCGTACGAGTACGTATCCAGCGTGAGATCACAGCGACGGTATGCTCGCAACCACGACTGAACCTCGCTCGACTTTATGAATTGCAAGAACTATACAAAAAGTTACAACTCAGTCCAGGTATAAGAGAATTTGCTATCCCATATCGTGTGACGAAGCAGGTAGTGGGCAGCAGCATCTTCCTGGTCACAAATCCTAACTACAATAAACCTGCCTGGCAACTACATCCTTCTTATGTGGCAATCTACGGAGGAGGCTTATATTTAACAGTGGTCTCTTAATAGGCTCGATTCTTGATCGAGTTCTCGATCTCCGTTTATAAAGGTGGCTGAAATATAAATTTCATCACTAAATGATATGACTCTTTTGTGCCTTTCGCCCTCACAATTTTAGTTAACACAATACCTCTACCTCCCACCTGATCTACCAGTAAGCAAATCTTAAAACCTTTAACACTTAAATCCTTCATAAATACTGAACACCTTTGGAGATCATTAACATATATTTACAACATAAAATCATGTAATTTTTTATTGAAACAAAATATATTTATGAATAAAAAAACTAACAAAAAATTATTGCCAAATATGTATGAAAGTAGTCCTTAGTTGTAAATATAAAGAACTATTCGAAATGCTCCGGGAAGACTCAAGCACTTATACTTGCTAAAACTAGCAATGTAATACTGGTTTCTTTTGTGCTATAAATAACGACAACGTACAACTCTTGGAAAACAAACTTTTCATTCCATAATTTAATAGAGACATTAAGAGTTACTTTGTAACCACCCACTCAAAAAATAAAATGATGTATCTTACCTAGATCGAAGAGCACATGCCGTCCTTCCTCAATTGCGTGCACTAATCCCGTTAGCACTAAACCCGTCACCACTTATCTCAGCACCACTACTCTGGGAGTAATTGTGTTGGGAGTAGTGTTGCTGGGATTAGTGGCGACAGGTTTAGTAGTAATGGGATTAGTGCACGCAATTGTAGGAGGGCAGGAGCTGCTCTTCGAACTAGGTAAGATACATCATTTTATTTTTTGAGCTTATGGTTGCAAAGTACCTAACTCTTAATATTTTAAGTATTATGGATTTCCGCAAAGTAACGCCTGATTTTAATAATTACCATAATTTAAGCTTTGAGTGTTTCTTGTCACACTGCTATAAATATCAATTTCACTCAATCTCCCATTTTTAAAACCATCAGCAAGAATAATAAGCTCAAGACTACCTGTGTATTCTACCTACTATGTTTCCGTGCAGTAACTGTTTAGTACCACAAGCATAATTATATTTAACGCCCCAAAAATGGAGGTCATTTGAGACGGATATGAACCACTCACCGATATCTATTATTATTCATCAAAAGTCCATTGCTGAACATCTGCGTTAACAGAAAGCCATTAGAAATACAATTCATCAGATGGTCACTCTATCAGCTTCCACTGGAGAAAAATTATATTCCAACTGTTATTCATCATCATGTAAGTGACGGCAAAGGAAAATTGCAACAGGAGATGGGCAACGTCTTAACTTGATCTTCCTGTTCAAGTCAAAGCTACAGCCTATATACGCCCCACTGCTGGGAACATACCTCTCATTTCTGAGAGGATTTTAGGGCAAGGAAATGTCCGCCGCGCTGCCCTTATGCGTGTTGACTAACTTCACATGTCTTCAAGAATTTTTTTTCTTATTTATCAGACATTCAGGTTTCATCACGATGGTTACCTTCCAGCACGTGCTAAATCAGCACTTAAAATTACAATTAAGAATTTTATTGGTGCTGGCGGGGATCGAATCCGGGTTGCTCGTGTATACAATTCAGTTATGGTAAAAAGACTGCCGTTGGTATGGATGATAATAACCCCTGGGAAGGGTGATCGCTACCAGGCTATTTCTAATTTGTCTTGTGTTGTTAACTGTAAACATGATTGTAAGCTTATATTGAAAAAAAAAAAATAGTCCCGCTGGGTTTCTTGCTGGTTCTTCCCAGGACAGAGGTTTTTTTGCTAACTAGTGGTAAATTACAAAAGTGACTTTCAACAAGTATTGTTATAACCTACATTGAACAAAAGTGAGTGAAGAGTTTGATAGGCTGTAGTAATGAATGATGACCATGTATCGATTCAAATGTTCATTTTGAATAAATGAACTCACGTCAAAGATTTTATCTACGTAATCCTTAGCAGATGCCGGAAGTACGGGGGCACCGCTGCCCGCCCAAGGAGTTCATATACTGCTTGCACTACAGCCAGCATCTCTGACCTGGAGATCCGCCCATCACCGTCGACATCGTAGAGCGCGAAGACCCAGGAGAGTTTCTCTTGGACAGAACCACGTGCAACCCGTGCCAGGATGTCGACAAACTCCTGCAAAATAATTATTCATGACACCTAATGTTAAACAAAATGGAACGTAAATACAGACACCGGTAAATTATTTCACCCCTTTGCTGCACGAATTTCGAAAGACGAAGCAAACCGTTTGGATTCATAACGTAAAATATTGACCACAAAGCAGGACCAGCTGACCGTCTGGTTTTCCGATGGTGGAAAGGGGAGGGTGGAATTAAATAATGATATGAAAGACCAAAACACATGTTTTCTATAATCAAATACTATGTAACAACTATGAAATAATAATACTCACTGAGACCTGGCTAAATGATTCTGTTTCGAGTAGTGAACTTTTTGACCCTAGATATGTAGTATATAGAAGAGATAGATCATCTGCCAGTAGTACTAAGAAAGAGGGAGGGGGGGTTTTAATAGCAGTATCTAGGAAATTAAAATCAAAGCGTTTAAAAGCTTGGGAGTCGGATCTGGAGGATTTATGGGTTTTAGTCGAAGCGCCAGATTCACACTCAATTTATCAAATTACTTTCTGTGCCATTTATTTACCATCTCCTATTAAAAGTGTAACTTATGATAAATTTTATGACACATGTACTAGCGTCCTGGAAGAGAAGTGTCTACATTGTATAGTGGGTGATTTTAATCTATTTTCCATAAATTGGAGCTTGTTACATGAGGATCCTGCGAAATGCGAGCTTTCCACTGTTAGTCAGTCATTTATTGATTTTTTTAAACGTCAATGATTTGAAGCAGTACAGTCGTATAAAGAATCAGAGTTTACATAGAACACTTGATTTGGTTATTGCAAATTTACCAAACTGCACAGTAGAACAGGCACCTTGCCCCCTCAGTAAAGTTGACAGGCACCATCCTCCTCTTGACATAAGTATTAAGCTATTAAATGAAATAAGATTACCTTATAACACTGAAAACGTACAATTAAATTTTTATAGAGCTGACTATAATAGTATTTGTAAAGAATTAGCAAGTTGTGATTGAGTTAAGCTACTTGATGGGTTGACAGATGTAAATAATATGCTACGAAATTTTCTACCTGAAAATTCGAAATATCATCAAAAAATTTGTCCCCAACAAATCGTCAAAGAACCACAACTACCCACCTTGGTTTCATCGGAATCTAATTAGAACTCTAAAGGAAAGGTATAAAGTTAGGTATCGTCACAAGAAATATAAAAATCCTAGAGATGAGCTTGAACTGCAATTGCTAAGTAAAAGATGTACGCAAATGGCCACAAATTGCTACAACAAATATATAAAACTAATAGAGTGTGACAAAGCAAAAAACCCAAAACTGTTTTGCTCCTTTGTCAAGGTGAAACGTGGTGGTTCAGGCGCCTATCCCCTATCAATGCTGACGGTACGACGGTAACTTCTGATGGAGTGGAAACTTGCGAACTTTTTTCTTGACACTTTTCATCCGTGTTGGCGACGCGCCTATTAGAATATTTCAGTTTATTAAGTCAACCGATGACGAATAACTTCTCAAAGGCATATTGTCCAATAGCAAGGTGCTGATAAGAAAATGCTTAGTTAAATCTTAAAGAAATATCGAATTAATGATATGAAGGTCTTGGGTTCGACTCCCAGGCCGGACTAGTTTATTGTTTTCCTAAGTAATATCGCTTAATAAATTCATAAGGAATTTAAGATATAAATTATGTTACCGGATTTGTTCCCCGGTTGAAATCATCTTTCCAATGATGTAAATTCAAAGGAATATTAAAGTGAAGTTAGAGATCGGATTTGTTCCCCGGTCGAAATGATCACTCTGTGAATAAATAGAATTAACGGAAATTAATTGCATAAGTATTGTCTTATATAAGTTTGATATATTTTGTACGAAAACAAATTCCTATTTATCATGATTGAATTATGAGAACATTCACTTACATTGTTATCTGATAAGAAACATGATAACTGATAAGAATCTGATTACAGATAGTTTCCTACAGTTCGAAAATTGTGTAAAAGCATTTTATTCACCCAATATTGTTAAAATTGGTGTATATCAGACTTTCATTTTTTCTGATAGCCGAGAGCCGTGCAAAAGTTAGTTGTTCAAATAGTGTGAGTTCATAGACGCACGCTGGCCACGCCCTTAGGAGGCCGAATATTTAAAAATTTAAAATGTTTGTAATTTCAGCAATTTATGTAAAAATGACTTATAAAACATTTCAGGTTGATTGTACGTGCTAAAAAAGGT